AAAATTGACTTGAGTTCGTCTGTTTCTTGTATCCATCCCATCAAACCTTTCGTGGAATCTCTGGTCTTTGTGAACAAGATACCTTTAGTCTCGCCCTTTCGATCTTTGACTTTGTCTTCTTCGTAAAATTTCAAGATCAACTCTTTCAACTTTTCCAATTTTGGATTCTTTGGTTCAGTTTTTTCTATGCGGGATTTGATGCCATTTATAGCTTTCTCGAACAGTTCCTGTAGCTTTTTGTCCGATGATAGGAACTTGCCTTGGTCAAGGTTGTCAAAGAATTCTTGAAGATACTGAATGGCGTCTTTCGTACGGACTGTGTCGTTGATTAGTAGAGCTATATGGTATCTTGTTGAAGAAACCGTATGAAAGTAAGTATTATTTTACAATCAAACCACTTCATATATTGCCTAGTCATGTTAATTCTATTTTGTGAGAGCTTATGCAGTGCATTACCCCTTGTTCCCAAATTGAAACTCCTCGATCAATTTGTTCAAAGCTCAAATAGAGTTAGGCCTAGGTTAACTCCATAGGCTTTTAAGAATCTGTAGCGTGTGTAAGGAGGGAGTGCCGGGATCCTGTGTACACGGGCTACCAAAAATCTACCAAAAACCCTGAATCTGTGTCTAGAGTATGACGCATATAAGTGAATATATGCACAATACAGGCACCGTTGTCCGTGTGTAAAAGAACATATTGAATACCAGGGATCTCTACCTTTTAAGGTGCTTTGCATACGTAGACAGATCACGTAATGCCTTGCTTATCGCTTCTTTTTCAATGCCTTCCACCCATTGGCGATACTGCTGACCAACTCTGTCAGCAGGCGGTATACTTGTAACTATTGAGGTCGGGGACACCGTTTGTGCAGCAATTTCAATCTTTTCCATTACCTTTCACACATTGAATAATAAATGATTATATAAATGAATTTCCAGGAGAAAATAAACGAATAAGTACTACCTGGACAATGACGTTTTCAAAAACGTTGGGTTGCTGGTCAACCTTTTCCAGTTTGCGTCTTGGTACACCTCCGGTAACGTTCTTCTTCAATTCCTTCAGATTCGTTCTCACGGTGCTGATGCACGATGCGTCCATGTTGGCACATATCTGTAAGATGTAGTTCTGAGTATTTTGAGTTGTGTTAGATCTTCTTGTCCCAAAAGATGCAGTCAGGCCAACGATCTAAGGAAATATGATAGCGTGAGTCTATTAAACATGACATACTTACCAAGTATACCACAATCTCGTCCCAAGACCCCATTCCCACTTTACGCATACGCGACGTGGATAATGGACTCTGGAAAACTTCAACTTCCATAGCCTGGATCAAGCTATTTCAGACCTGCGCAGAATAGGATCCACTTATATATGGGGTTTTTGGCGAAATTTGTCAACCAACAAGACAACGATCAAATGACTGTAACTACACTCACCTGTGGTAGTTTTATGTTCGGATCGCTCTGATACTTTAACGCCATGTAATTCTGCATGATCTTGTTGTAATTATGATCCTTGTTTGTGTGATGACACTCGTCAAACACCAGCAAAGTAATCTGGGAAATCTTGACTGAGCCTTTCTGCAGGGCATTCAACAGTATCTGAGCAGTCAATACAATGACGTCATGGGTTTTGAGGAGGAAGTCAAGGGGGATTTCTGTGGAGTTACTGCCCGATATATCGGAAATGCTGTAGTTTGTGAGGTATTCTTCGAATCGGCTCCTCTGCTGTAGCACCAGGTTACTGACGATGAAAATTACTTTTGGCTTTCCATTACTTGTGCTTTTTGTGGCAGCGGCTGCACCTGAAAAAACAATGCGCAGCAAAGTTATCAATATAAATGGCCGGACTGCTACTTTGAAACTACCTTAGGTTTTATACGTCAATAAAACAATTTCATGAGAGGTGATTAACATTATATGGACATGAAGCTCAACAAAGATGCAAAGTTTTCATTATATATTGACATTTTTGTTTTGCTTCACAAATTAGCCCCATAATGCCGACTTGCCTTTTCAAGATGGCCACTGTAATTAATGTAAACGATCAGCTTCCATGTGTTTTTTTTGTATTTCTTTTGCATCCGTCTTTTAAGTTTATCTCTTTTAAGGTTTAAAAACTTATTTTTGCGCTGAGTTGAATGCAGCCGCGTAAAGCAAATTCGAAGTAGATACAAGATAGGCCATACTAACATAAAAAACATCAATTTTAAATGTCTACGGAAGAAAAATTTGTTCTGAATTAATAATAAAACAAGCACAATACATTACCCAATTCTTCGCTATCATCTTTCTTTGAAAACTGTACAAGATGGTGTTTAGCTATCGCCATAGCAACAAAGGTCTTTCCACTATTAGTTGGAGCACAGATGATGGCATTCCTTCCCTCCATGGCTGGACGTGCTAGCTCTTTCTGATATTCACGAAGCTCTAAGTCTTTCTTTTGCTCGTTGCTTGTGTGACTTTCGAGCAAAACTATTAAAATAAGAAACAAGTTAAATATATTCTGGCAATAAGAACATAACATTTTTGCTGGCAGAAGCACTTGGCCCTGTATTGTGACCATGCCGATCGCAAGACATGCAATAAACAGGGAACGCGGAGCAGGGGGGACTGGGGGCTGTAACCCCCCCTCTCCCAATAATTTTCCCGCCATTTTGAATTTTCTTAAATAAAGAAGCGAACAGCCTCCTTGTAAAATTTCACCATATATATTCTATAAAAATTGTGCAAAAACTGCTGGGTGATTTGAGAAAATGCGACTAGCCAATCAGCGCAAAGHTGACAAGCTTATGTTGTAAACATAACCCTCCGACGGGAGGAATTTGCACAGCAAAACTCGACCCAGTGGAGTAGGTTGCCTGTCATTTTATTCTATCCGAAAAATCGCTAAAAAAAAAGCTAAAACGCAAAGAGAAATTGAAAATCTTTATAAAATAGCTTTTAAGAGTGATTGTCAGAGAAAACCGGGCAGGGTGAAAAGATGGGGGTCGGCCGATTTACCTGAAACTTATACCATTTATTAGGTATCGAATATAAGTAAGAATGGCCAAATATGAGCCTCAACGGACTTATACTTTCTGAGATGACCACCCCCCTCACTTTTGAGGCCAAAAAAGCGATTTAAATGCGAATAATTAGGACGAATTTTGAGGACTCCTAACCTATGATACGCAAAATTAAACAATTTTTTACTGTTTCCCCAGTTTTTGTCATTTATTTGACTAGACATCCGAGTTAAAATAAAGAAGTTTTTTCTAAAATCGTTTGTGTCAGGGCCTTGACAAACATCGTATGGTTGACGTACTTTCGCCAACATTGAAATTTGTGGCAACTTTAAAAAATAATTTCTCAAAAGTGCGGCACTTTATTTTGAAAATT